AAATATAGTTAAGGGTTACTTATAGCACAACCTTTTTGTCTAATAATTACAATAAATATAATAATAAATAGATATTAATGATAAAAGTAACTTATACTTGACCTAAAAAAAAAATTCTTTTACCAATTCGAAGGTCACGAACAGGCTACGCTTCTATGACTGGACAAGCTTTGTTTATCTCGCTCGTGATCGTACATCAGAAATTATCTGATTTTGAAACAAGATTGGTGATTATGCTCGCAAGATCAAGATAGGATCGTGAAATCTATGTGCCATCAAATACACCATTTTTCCTCTAGAATCAAAATCAGTCAACGAGGGTTCCAAATCAGAGCATCGTAGCAGAGCAACCACGCACCCACCTGACACATCGTTGCCTAGGTGATGTCCTACTTCTGGATCGTTGCTTCATTTTGGGTATTCTTCATGTGCATCTAATCTATTGTTAGATTAGGAGACAGACTTGTGAGTTTATATTATTTGCAAAACCTGCAAATTCAGGGTTTTGCCATGGAAAAGGCTATTGAGTTTTACTGATCGATGTGTTTTATCTCTTAGTTATGAATGACATAAATGTAAAAATGGGTCGTGTTCTGGTCTTTATCTGATCTTTTCTTCCAGCTGTCTTATGAGCATCTGTTCTGTTGGTTGATTGTGCCTACAATGTGAAGCTTATGTTTGTGTATATTATAACACTCTCCATATCAAAACCAGCAAGGAACAACTAGGTGCAACATAATATTATTTGATTGCAGTTAAATTAGTGTTGTTGATGATATCTTTCAAACTTAGCTTTTAGAAAAGGTTATGGCTAAAATCACTGGGGATTAAGTTGGTCGATTGTTTTGAATGAGAGCAAATGTATTCAGCTTCTCATTAACACCATAATCTACTACATTGTGTGATAATTTGTATTGTGACTTTGATGATAATTCATTTGATCGACTGCAAAAGGGTTAAATGTAAGAAATAACAACGGACTTCATTAATCTTTTTCATTTATTCTCTATTAAAACATTTTAGTATGGTACTGATGCCTATATGAACATCCTCATGAGGGTTTATATAGTCTCCATGAAGATGAATGGTTCTAAATGGGTGGCCTACTTGTGTGGAAATCACAATACTTAATTTCCATGAAAGTAGAACCTAAAACTAAAAGACAAATTAAAAATGAAGAATTATAATAAACTGCCCCAAATTAGACGTTCGAAGACTTGAAAGTCTTGGCAATTTCTATTTGTTATCAAAATATTTTCCAAACTTGTGATATTTTCACAGACTTAAAAAAGTGATGTGATCACAGTTGTTGTCTGTGGAATCCACAAAATGTAATTATTGGTCTGTGTTAGAAGGCCCAAACATGCTTGTGGGCCCATGCGGGTTTATATAATCTTGACTGTCAAGATAAATGATTCTAAGGTTTGGGAGAGTGGTATGGCAGAGGGAGTGCACCTTTGCCACCTAAGCAGCGAACACCGCCCCTTCACATCGGTTTGGGTGCAGTCTAGACTGCACTACGACATTATTAGTCGCACCTCTCTCTCACGTCTCGCTCGCTCCGCGGCTCTCGCTCTCTATCGATATATATATATATATAGAATATATAGATATATATAGATATTATATATCTATATATATATATATATATTTCTTCATATTTATTTTTCATTAGAAATCTAATTTTTTATATTAAAACCAATTCTTTTAAAGTCTATTTTCAACAAATATATGTATTTAATTTTCTTTTTCTGAATTTAATTCTTTTCTCACCCTTCTATATCTTGCTTTCTATTTTTTTTACTTCTTTTTCTTTTCATATCTAGATAATAATAAATTTGTCAATATGAATCTTTTATATAAACTATGAAGTATGGTTTTATGTTAATATGCTAATATGAATAATGTTTTTTATTTTGAAGTAATGATATGCTATGTTTTTTTATTAAATTAAAGTTTTTTATTTAAAATAAATTGTTAAAAAAAATGTGGCATCACTCCTTGGGTGTGGCAAAGAACCACACTTTTGTGGTAAAATATAATGCGACGTATAGCCTAAGTGGGTGGCCTTAAATTGGTGGACATACAATATTTCCATACAATACTTAATTTCCATGAAATTAGAACCAAACTATAAAGAATAATCATAGATGAAGAATTGGAATTAATTCCCCCAAATTAGACGTTCAAAGACTTAAAAGTCTTGTCAATTTGTGTTTATTATGGATGTCTTTTCCCATCTTGTGATATTTTACAAGTTGTATTCATTATCTATATCTTTTTGACTTTTTCTCACTTGTGATAATTTTTTGGTATGTCATATTTTTCATAAAAAATTGAAAGTATGGCGCTATAGATCATTCTTAAGACCTGCAAAGAACAACCAGATTTAGTTGTTTAAATAACAATTTAGAATAAAGTACTAATTAATATTGCACTATGTTTTTGTCCATTGCTCTTACTTTCTTGCAAAAAACTGAGTTTTAAACAAATTTGAAGCTTTGTTAGGAAATTATACACGGGAGAAGGTATGCAGTTTAGTTGGTGACTTGGCTAATTACTAATTATTTAATGTGTTCTTCTAACAGGTATCATAGAGAGTAAAGTTTTATTGAGTATACTTTCATGTATTTTTAAATTTAATACACGTACGAAGCAAATTATCTATCATATCACAATGAGCATCTCAATTATGGTTTTATTATAGATGTACATGAAAGAACAATATAACTTAATCATCTTAATAATTAAAACATCATTATACTTTCACAATTTTTTACATTAATAAATTTTCATATAATAAAACTCATATCAGTTAAGAACTAGTTATAGACATACCTATATGAAGCAGAATCTAAATTGATTATTTCAATAATTATTATTAGTAATTTGTATTCGGTTTAACGCGTTCTTTTTTTTATGTCTTCAAATGACCAACATACCCCTTGTATTACATCAACAGGTAGCAAACTACGAAAGTAGGATACTATAATAATTAATAAACAAATCAATGAAAGTATATTGTTATTTCTTGCATTTAACCCCTACATAATTTAGGAAGCCTATTCGTTCTTGTAAACATCAATAAAAATGATGATTTGTTTATAATCGAAAGCTAAAAGTTTTCATCCCTACAATACCTATACCTATCTGATAATCACTTAAATGGAAGTATGACTGAGAAACTGTGGGAACTATCCATACTTCAAACGCTTGACGTTTCTTTTAATACTCTTACAGTTCCTTCCAAGTATCACTTGTCAGGCCTTTCTTATGTAAAGGTTATTGATCTGATGTCTTGTAAGATAGGGCCTCGCTTCCCGAAATGGGTTCAGACACTCAAAAATCTTACCGCTCTTGATCTTTCCAATACTGGAATGTCAGACACAACTCCTCTAGGTTTTTGGTATATGTGGCCTTCTCAAGTAGAATATCTGAATCTCTCTTCCAACAACATTGGAGGGAAAGTACCAGATTTATTATCAAAATTTGCCTCATATTCAGTGATAGATTTGAGTTCCAACAACTTTAATGGCCAAATACCGAAAATCTCTTCCACTTTGACATCATTAAATCTTTCTAGAAACAATTTCTCTGGAGGGATCTCCTTTATATGTCAAATTGTTGATGGGTGGTTAGAATATCTTGACCTCTCTCATAACTCATTAATTGGACAACTCCTGGACTGTTTGTGGCATTTCAAAGAACTAAAAGTTCTTAATCTCGAACACAACAATCTCTTTGGAAGGCTTCCTCCCTCTATTGGATCTTTGATACAACTAGAGGTGTTGTATTTATATAAGAACAACTTCTCTGGAGAATTGCCTCTGTCTTTAAAAAGTTGCACACTTTTAATCTCATTGGATTTAGGGGCCAACAAGTTTTCTGGTAAAGTGCCCGTCTGGATTGGTGAAAACTTATAGTGGTTGGATGTTCTTATCCTAAGATCAAACAACTTCTTTGGAACCATACCCTTACAGTCATTCCATTTAGCTAGTCTTCAAGTTTTGGACTTGTCGATGAACAATCTCCATGGAACTATCCCTTCATGTTTGAGTAATCTTACGAGTATGGTTGAATTATTAGCAAAGTCCTTTTAGGTTTCCCTCAAACCTAGTAATTAAATAGGATGACTTTTAGAGAGAGAGAGAGATTGATTTATTAATTTATTATATGATTAATAAATTAATTAAAATCAAAATAAATAATTTATTAATAATTATGTGAATAATATATTAATTAGAAATAGTATTATTTTAAATATAAATTAACCTGAAATTAATCATAATTAATTTTGGGATTAATTGGAATAATTAAAAAATAGAAGAACTAAAGTTGACAATGTTCAAAAGTTGAACATTGAGAAATTCTAAAACCTCCCTAGGAGGGGGGACGAATTCTAGAAGGGCTCTAGGGTTTCCTTGGGCATTAAGGGAGCCTTGGATGCCTTAGGGAGGAAGTTAATGGATTAGGCTTATCTTAGGAAACTGTCTTATCCATAACTCCCTTGATCACCTATATACACCCTCCACGGGGTTCAGAATTTCAGCCATCTCTTTCTTCCAAGGCATAGCCGAAATTTCTCTATCCCCTCTCCTCAGTCTTTAAGCGTCCTTGTTGCTAGGGTTGGGTGTGAACCATCAGAGGCACGAGATTTCTGGTGCTAGCTTCGAAGTGACTACAAGAAGGATTGCTATTTATTATCTACTAGTATAATCAAAAGGTATGTAACCCTAACCATTTTTTGTTCATTTCTAAAATCCTAGGGTTCTTGTAAGGTTTTCATGTTCAATTGGTTATTGCATTTAATAGTGAAAACATAGATCCTTTAGGGTATGCAAACTTAGGGTTTATGTTTTTCTGCCGAAAAATAGTTTTTTGTAACATATAAAACCCATCAGTGGTATCAGAGCCATTGTTTTCAATTGAATATGCATAATAGTTGAATAGATCAAGATTAGGGTTTATAAAAATTAAACCCCAAAGGATGAAAATTTTGACTAGGGCTAGGGTTCTTGAAACCCTAGCCTCCTCCCTTATTTTCGTAATTTCTAGGGTTTTCTTATTTGATAAGTATTGCTTTGAATCGTTTAAAATAGAATAATTAAAATCGGTTAACCCCTTATCCTTTGATTTTCGAAAATATAGATGGAAAGATAATTATGATAAAATTTAAGTTATGTGATTAATAGTAAATGCTAGATAATTTATTTAATCCTTATAAGCTTTAAATTAATTTAATTGATTGTTAATTAAAAGATAAAGATTAAATCTTAATTGGTTTATTTTTAACTTTTAATTTCAAAAATTTAAATTAAACCTAGTATTTTAGAAAAGTTTTAAAATACACCTTATAAAGAGTATTAATGGGCATATCGAGAATTATCATTGTTGATGGAGCGTGTGTGGTTAACCATCACATCAATTAGAGATGATAAATGACATCGAGGTTGCCAGACACATTTGCATGGTTATTCACATCTTGTTTGTGATCCTCGGTATCCCAGACATAAATAGAAAGAACATAATTTGAGGTTAAACATGCCATTGATAGATTCGATGAATCCCAAAAGATCTAGGAATTTCATTTTGATTGAAATTGGTGAATTGCTTTTACCTACCTTTATAAATTTTATAATTAGACTACGACATCCCTCTTCTAGATTGTGAATTGCATAGTTGGGTCCAAGCCTCAAATATTTATTATGGTTTAAATATTAAGCATTATTGTCATCTAACTAAAACTACCTTTTTTCTATAAATATCTACTCCTTGTGATGCTTCTGCTCCTTCGTCGTCTACCCACAACTCGGGTTTCTCCCTACTCTCAATCGTGTCCAAGGTGACATTTAATGGTACCAACTACAACGATTGGATGCGTAACATTAAAATGGATCTTTGATTCGAGGGCAAATGGTATGTCCTTGAAAAGGAACTTGTTGAAATCGATGAAGCCACTACTACTCCATAACAACAAGCCTCCTACAAGAAACACTACGACAATGCAACAAAATTTGCTTGCATCATGGTCGCCACTATTGTCACACCCCCAAAACCTATGAACGGCGGAAACGTTCTGGGGTGGAGGACGTCATGTACAGTATCACAACAATGTAAGTAGTAAACAAGCAACAACATCATCCATTGCATTAATAGTATAATTTCATACAAGTGTGTTCTGTCAAGTTTTAAAGACACCAAAACAATATACATCAAAAATATAAGATGAGTCTTGAACGAACTCCTCTTCTCAAAACCTGGCTCCGGTAACCTGTCTACTGACGACCTGAGAATACAAGTTATTTTGAAAGAGTTTATCAGCTTTAGAGCTGGTGAGATCATAAGTATATTAGTGTCTGTGTTTGTATGAAAGCATTTGTAAGATGTTTTGTATGATGTACTATGTATGTTTGTAAAAGTTTTGTATTTGTTTGAACTCTCCTAGAAAACCCTATGTTTCCTAATAAAAGTAGCCTTCTACCAAGGCATCTAGTGTCTGTGTGTGTCTCTTGTAAAAGGGTGTATTTTCCCAAATCCGACTATCATTAACCAAAAATATAGTTTTTACATTATTGTTTATTGTGTGGATATCACAAAGTAAAATGTAAAGGGAAAATGTTATAGTACTGTAGTGTAGTATTAAGTAACTACTGATGTACTTGATGGGATTTAGGTACAACAAATAAACTAGAAAACAATTCCTAAGTTCACATGCAACCTACTTTGGATCTATGTTTTAACTATTGAACATACAACTTTGAATTGCAAAACAAGAACGCTAGAGGAGAGAGGCTAATTTCGAAATTAACAAACTAGGGTTTAGGGTTTACATACCTTTCAATTGTTATAGCAAACAATTGATATTCCCTTGATCTTGATCTTGATCTTCTTGGAAGCTTTAGCACCACAAGTGTAATGCCTCTAATGGAATCACACCCAATGACTAGCAAGAAGGAAAGTAGAAGAAGAGAGAGGGGAGGGAGTATGCAATTTCAGCCAAGGTATTCTTCCAAAGAATGAGTAGTCTAAAATGTGAGCCAGGAGGCTCCTTAAATAGTTGAGGGAACTAGGGTTTAGGGAAAACCCTAGTTATCCTTTGCTTAGGGCCTAAGTAAGACCCAAGGCCTTATCTTGGACCCCTTGGACGAATTATCTAGGGTTTCCCCTAGGGTTTTCGTCCACCCCCTTCCAAGGGAGTTCTGGATCATTCCCTTCAACTATCAGTTAATTGCAAACTAGTCCCTGCACTTTATAATTAATTCTTTTAACCCCAAAATCAATTCTGATTAATTTCTGGCTAACAATTAATTAAACATAATGATTTCTAATTAATATATTAATCTTTTAACATATTAATAAATCATTTATATTAATTCATTAATCTTATAAATTAATATCTCTCCTTTCATAATTTCCTTGTCCAGTTGCTAGGTTGAGGGCAACCCAAAATGACTGTGCTGCTATCAATTCAAGTACATACCAATTATAGTTATGGGCTTAGACACATAATCCAACAGTCTCCCACTTGGATAAGTCTGTAACTATAATTGCTAGTATGCCTTCTAAATTTGACCAGCAAATTGTAGCTTCCAAAAAGCTGCTGCCGAACTCTGACCCAGTCAGTTATGTGTCCTAAGATAAGTGATCATATAATCCTTCGTTCTGCAAGATATCCCTAGACATAAGACATGGAATTTAATCAATCTCTTTGTCCAGAATCTATGTTTCCCGATTTCTGATTTGTGATGATAATAAAGGACTTCTAATCGAACACATCAATTTAGTCCTGGCTGGGCCCAACACATAAGTCAACACCAAATCATCGAGGGGCCCACAGATATCGCTTTTCCGGTTAGGGCAAAAGGAACGAATAAACGTTGACTCATATGCTTGTATCTTTTACTCATCAAATTATGCATGACAATACGTTTTATAACACCAAGTTACTGATGCGTTTTCGTATCACCAATGCATGACCGACTTGTAAATTACAACTCATATATCTTCGTTTCAAGATTATAAGATATTATCGTCTCAGTATTACTCGTGATGAATTCCATGAAGTGATACTCTGAGCGAGGGTTTATCCAGTACTCAAATCTCAATTTCTGAGTACTCATGAACGTTGCAGCAATTCTATTGCCATGTCTATCCTTAGACAATCTACAATCCAGTTCATGACAGTCTTAATTCACTACTTACTTCCAAAAGTATGAGTGACTGTGGAGTTTGAATAATCTTATTATTCGGGAAGTAAAACATGCAAAAATGAAACACAATAATAAACAATTGACAAAAGGCAGAAACCAAACTTATAAATAATACTTTATTATTTAATCACCAAAAGTCAATTACATTTACTTTGTTACAAGTTTCAGAATTAATCTAACTACTAAAACTAATATCATCTTTCAGTCCTATGCTCCGAGCATGCTGAATGTGCTCAGCCCTACTCAGACCCTTTGTGAGGGGATCTGCTGGGTTATCTTCAGATGACACCCTCTTTACTATAAGATGGCCTTCTTCAACTCTATGTCTGATGAAATGGTACTTTCTGTCGATATGTCTGGTCTTACCATGATCTCTCGGTTCCTTTGTCAAGGAAACCGCTCCTTCATTATCGCAAAACAGTTCCATAGGCTCCTGGATGGTTGGAACAACTCCGAGATCCCCGATGAAGTTCCTCAACCAAGCTGCTTCTTTCGACGCTTCACTTGCTGCTATGTACTCTGATTCACAAGTAGAATCAGCCACCGTATTTTGCTTGGAACTCTTCCAAGTAACTGCTCCTCCATTCAGTAAAAACACCCAGCCCGACTGAGAACGGAAGTTATCTCTATCCGTCTGAAAGCTGGCATCACTGTAACCATCTACTCTTAAAGTATCACTGCCACCAAGCACAAGGACCCAGTCCTTTGTCCTT